TGTTACATACTTCAATGAGTATGGGCAGAACCAAAGATCAACCAATGTAGGATGAGCATATATGCAGCGGAAGTCTGATAAACGGACTGACTCACATAGACTGACTCACATAGCATCACTCCACACACATACAATCGTGAGATGGTGGGGTCTGGGCCAAGCATGGACGATGCCCAGATCCCGTACACACATACACAGATGAAAGGTGGGAGGAGAGACGAAGGAGGTGGGGGAGGTAGACAGCACCGATAGGTCACCGAGATAGAATCCGATAGGTCACCGATATGGTAGTCCAAAATGTCATCCAACAAGATCCAAATGTCGAGGACAATCAGTCACCAATGTCGGAGATACAGAGTCCAAATGTAACCGGTGTCCGAACTGTGATGCCGCCAAGTATCAACCCCAACAATCTCCAAGTCTCCAATCCGGTAAGTACCACAGTCTCATACCACCGAAGTCCAACTCTGATCTCTGTCCAACTAGTATAAGTCTCCAAATCTGAAGAAGAAGAAGAAGAAGAAGAAGAAGAAGAAGAAGATGGAGTCTGAAGAGAAGAAGAAGAAGAAGAAGAAGAAGAAGAAGAAGAAGAAGAAGAAGAAGAAGAAGGGAGCCGAGGAGGAGAGAGAGAGAGAGAGGGGACTGGCGAGGGGAAGGAGGAGAGAGGCCTCCAACTCCCGATACCTCAGGCGGCTATGGCYGCCGGCACAMTCAGTCGCCGCTGCTGCTGCTCGCTCGCTGCTGCTGCGCTAATGCTGCGCTGCTGCTCCTCGCTGCTCCTGCGCTAAACTTAGCGCCAGYGCTGTATCGCGCTGTACCATACYGTACCGRTAGAATGCCGGTAGGTCGATAGCCTCACTGAGGCTGGACCGGTACTTTTGTACCGGTGGGCAGAGGTCGGCCTCTATGYTGCGAGGCCTGACCGTGCCCTGAACCGTCCAGATGGACGGTTCAGCCCCAACCGCCGGGCGGCAGCCTCAAGAGCGCCGCCAGGCCCAAACGGTAATATCGTTTGGGCCGGCCCGTCGGGTCTGGTCCAAGGTAAGGCCTTTACGGCCTGTAGTACCCCCCAAGGTCGGGCCTTTGGCCCTACTGTGTCCCTCTACCCCTACGTCGGGTCCGGTAGGACCCGTGTGGCGTCGAAGATGTAACACACTCCCCCTCTTAAAAGACCGAGCTTCCTGCGAGGGCGAAGTTGTCTGTCCGATACCTGGGTGGGTCGGGCGGGACGAGCTGCTTCCTTAGCAAGGCGTCGCTTCTCATAGTCGGCGAAGATAAGGGGTGCAGAAGTCTGCAAATCTGTACTGGAGTTCCACCGAGTGTCATCAGGTGCACATTGCTTGAATGTGACTTTGAACTGCATCGGCTTGTTGCCATACTTGCGATGTGTGATGACTCGGTCGACTTCCTGATGTTCGTCCATAGAAGGCGGATCCTGTGATCGACGTCCGGGAAACTCGTCAGCTGAAGGTGGCGTGTAGATGGCCAGCTTCGACGCGTGGAAGACCCGATGCACTGGAAGGTGCGGTGGAATGTTGATCACGAAGGAAGGACCTGCGGGGTCGTCTCCAACGGCAGAAGTGACTTCCCATGGTCCGAACCATTTCGGAAGGAGTTTGTGCGAAACGTCCTGCTCGAGCGCAAATTCCTCTGAGAGGACCCGAACAAGGTCTCCCTCGCGGAAAGGACATGGAAGTCGACGTCGGTTAGCCTGCTGTTGCATGCGGATCTGAGCCTTTTGCATATTCGTGCGGGCTTTGATCAGCAAGTCCCGGTACTTCCGAACGGAAGCGGGAGAGCAAGGGACGTCTATGTCGGCAACCTGTGGCAAAAGTAGATCAGCGAAGATCCATGCTTTCTCTCCACCATGATGTAGCTCGAATGGTGTGACGCAGATCGCCGGGTGCACCGAAGTGTTATAGGCGAACTCGATGTCGGGAAGCCGGTCAACCCAATCTTTCTGGTCGGGACGGATGAGCGTACGCAACATCATCTGAGCGGGGTCTGGTGCGCTCGCTCCGTCTGGCCATCCGTCTGCGGGTGCCGAGCCGAGCTCGGCTTCATTGTCGTACCGGACTCAGCCATGAGGGAAGT